TTTATTTATTATTTAATGTAGTTATATTTATTTAATTTAATGTATGTATTTGTTTGTTTTTTATTTTGTTAAAGATTATTTATTTAATTTGAATGTGTTTTTTTATTTTAAGTAAATGTAATTAATTAATTAATTTATTTTATTTATTTTTAGAAGCGTTTAAAAATGAAAGCACTTCTTTGGTCAGTCTAAAAAATGACCAAAGATGACGCATCTTGCACTCATGGGAGTCTCCAAAAGAAGCCGTGCTCAATCATACGCAAGCATGTTTGTCGGTATTAAAAGCTTAAATGTTATTTTTACACTCAGCTGAAGCGATGCCAGTCTAAAATGCATACTTTTTACTGTCTGGCAGATATTGAGATGTCTGCAGTGAGTTTTGTTGTGTTGCACGTCAAACCTGCCAAGAAGCTCGATTTGTTTGGTGCATTCTATTTCTATCTGCGTTTTGACAGGGTATAATCAATGCTATCGCTCTCTTTGTGTGCTCTCTTGCAGACAGCGCTACGTATCCTCTAAGAGGAAGTGATGTCACGACACCATCACCGCTTTGAGAGAGACTATCGAGGCCCCTGGGACCGTCGCGAGCGAGCCGGCGGCCTTCACAATGGCGTTGGCAACAACACCTGCTCCTCAGCACCGCCCGTGGCCAACGGCAACAACCGTCCGGGACTCCTCCCGCTCCCGGTCATCCCGTCCCTCCTTCCCACCCCCGTGACCATCGCCGTGACGTCGGCCAGCAACGACCTCGCCGCCAAGCGCTCGGGAGCGTCTGCGTCCGCCACGGCACCTGTTGTGAAGGTAGAAGCTGCGAACGACGGGGGCGAAATCCACATCCAAATCACTCGCATTTCCATTTCACTCACACTGCCAAATTGCTTCATTTGGTCCCGCTCTTCTTCTCCTCGCTAATTTTCTCTTTCATTATGCAAATGAGAAACTGAGCAATGGGCCGAATTAATCCCAAGCCCGTGGCTCTGTCAAGTCTGTTGTGGGCAAGAAATAAAAGGCGTCAGCTTGCTATTTGAGTCGAGATGAATGCCATTCTGGAGAATTGGTTCAAGGAACGAGAAAAGCATGAACTGTTGTTTCACTCTTCATGCTGTTTAATCAGATTAGCTTCCGTTTCACTTAGATTTCATGCATAACGACAGTTTACTAGCTACTTGTAATGTGGCTTTTGCAGCCCACGCTCTTATAAGGTGATGATTGATGTGACCTTTGTTTGAGACCCGCAAAACGTACACATTTTGAAGGTATTGTTCACTTGAGGTCTCGTTAATGGCTAATATGAGGTGTTTGCCGTGGTGTAGGTTAGTATAGCGACTCGCCGGAGGTGCGCAGAGTTGTTTTCAGGGTAATTTCTCTTGGTTTCTATCAGTCGAGTCTCCCAGCAGAAGGGCTTGCCAGCTTTTCTCTACTTTGCTTGAAGCCCACTTCAGGGAGCAATCCGGCCTCAAAATCCTGGCATCTCCATCTACAGCTACTGTCATCTCACATTGGCGTTTTTTGTTTAAACTTTTGCGCTTGAGTGAATTCCGTGGGACTTCTGTGGCCGGAAAGCTTTGTGAGTATCAATCGAAACGCTTTAGCATTATGCAGATTGTATTAACACTAACCCTGTGGGCGAACGCTAGCAGTTGGATGCAGACTGCCGAGTTCTGCTTTGACTTTGACTTTGACGAGTCCCTCTGATGCGTGTTTTAGTTTACAGAAAAAAAAACAGAACTTTTTAATCTAAAAAGCAGTTAGCTGCACTACGATTTAAAAATGATTTTTCAAAGCTGAAAATAAGTATGCTTCACAAGAAAATACTACAATTAAATGTGTTACTTGCCATTTCTTTGTAATTATTTGTGAAATTTACTAGCAAGTGTTTCAAAATAAATCATACACCATTTTTTCCCCTGTGTACAATATAAACTTTTAGATTATAGGAATCTAGGAATCTATTATGACAGCATTCAACAATTCTGGACAGAGGTTGCATTTTACACTAAATACAATTGTGGTAAAGTTGAAAGCAGCTGTGTTTAACTGAAAAGGAGACTTTTTGAATCAGTGAATCATTCCTTTTTGAACTGATTCATATACATGAACTGTCTGCATGAATTGATTCCCTGATATGCACCTCTCCTTCATTCATTTCTAGAAACCAGAGGTAGCATTTACGCTAAATACAACAAATGATTGTTATAAAAAAAGTTGAAAAAAGCAGTGTTTAACTGAAAAAGAGACTTTTCGGATCAGTGAATCATTACTTGTTGAACTGTATGTGGAGACATACGAAGTATTTCAGTCTCATGTTTAATTCAATGTGTTACTAGCCATTTCTTTGTAAATATTTGTGAAATTTACTAGCGATTTCTAAGTGAAAAGTGTTTCAGAGTAAATCATACACCAATTTAGAAACCTCAGCTAAAAAAGTTTAGAAATATTGTGAAAATACATATCATAATTGTGACTTCATTGTGACTACATTGTGACAAAGTCCTAACTTTAAAAATAACTAATGTCAAATAATGTCATAAATATATAGTTCAGTCATGAAACTCCAGATGGCGCAGGCTGATGGGTTGTTAACGTAACTGATGATATTCAGAGAGTTAAACGACTTGGCACAAGCTGATTGGTTCATGCTGCATATGCAGTCAATGAGCTTACTGCCTTGCATTTATATGGCTGGCTAGCATTCACTAGAGATTCCTGCAGCGCGCTTTCAGAGTTTCTCTGAAACCTCATGGCACCGTATCGCCATATGCATTGGCAGTAGCAAGTTCCTGTACTTGCTTGCAGCAGCAATAATCTACAACTACAGCAATAACCAACAGCAGCAGCAATTCAGCAGCAGCGTAGCAGATCCATTCCGCCAAGACCAAATACATTAACATTGTCATATCCATCACCATGCTAAAATCTTCCGAGAGTTGTCATGATTGAATAACACTTAAGAGTATACCTTCCTACAGCTATATTAGCAATAGAGCTGTTATTTAGGTTCATGTATCCAATAGCATATTTTGAGTTCAGAATGGCATTTTTGAAGAAATAATGAAGGATATAGATGTTGTTATTTATAAATATTAAGACAAACTACTGTTTATGTTTGGTTTCAGTAAAGGTTTTTTTTTTTTTGTAATATTTTATTCAGCAAAGATGCATTAAATTGATTAAAAAAAAGTGACATTAAAGACATTTAGGACATACATGTCTGTCTTAAATGCTGTTTTTTTTAACTTTCTATTCATCAAATACTCCTGAAAAAAAAATGCATCACAATTTCCACAAATATTTTAAACAACACTGTTTTCAACATTGATAATAATACGAAATGTTTCTTGAGCAGCAAATCAGCATATTAGATCATGTGGAACTGAAGACTGGAGTAATGATGCTGAAAATTCAGCTTTGCATCACAAGAATAAATTAGATTTTAAAATATATTCAAATAGAAAACAAGTTATTTTAAATTCTAATATTATTTCACAATGCTACTATTTTTACTGTATTTTGGATCAAATAAATGTAGCCTTGGTGAGCTTTTAAAAAGTAGTTTATGTGGAAAAATGCTTTCACAACATTGCTGTGTTAGTTGTTGTGCTTGTTGCATTCTTCAAAAATGTCTTCGACTTCTGTTTTCCACGGGAAAAAATAGCAACAAACAGGTTTGGAATGACACGAGAGTGAGCAAATAATGACAGAACTTCTCTTTTAAGTTAGCAGCATTGCTACTTTTAGTTAGTTAGTCTCCAGCACTGGAGGGAATGTGTTTACCTCGGCTTTCTTTAATTATTGCCTGAAGGAAACTCATCAGAACACGCTAGTCTTGAGGGACCGACACTTTCTCTGTCATCTGTCATCAAAGTCCCCATGTTGTTGTGCCCACGGTCCAGCTCATAGATGCTATTCAGATCAATATAAAAGCAAAAGCCGCAGAAAGACATGAGAAGGAAAGAGAAGGTTTTATCTAACGCCTTTCGTCTTTCCTTGGTTATGACATGGATGTCTAATAAGGCAAATCGTTTGTGTGTGTAGTTAATGACTCTGAATGCTGCGTATTTATCTGGAAACGTGTTTGTTTTTAACCTTGACAGGTATGAAGCATGTTGATTGAGTTTGTGTGGCTGATTTACAGTATGTTTGTGAGTCTGTTTTTGTGTGCAAGACAGATCGGCATCTAATTAGCGAGATGGAGAGGGACCCTCGCGTCGGCTCACACGTCTTTTTGTGACAAACTCTACACAACGAACAATAAATAATGCAGCTACTGTTACTTTAAGAGGCCCATCTGCCTGAGCTGTCTGTCATGACTAACGACACTTCAGAACCAACAAACAACTCGTAATTGAACTAAAGGTGTGGCAGCTTATTTACTCTCCGCCTCTTGTAATTAATTTTGTTTGTTTCTTTATTTATTCCCCCGAGCATAACCACAAATCCACAGCTGCTGACAGAGACATTTTTTCATAATTCCAGGAGTGCTTGAGAAAGTTTATTGTAGTCTGTTTAGAGCAGTTGTTCTCAACCAAGGGGCCGGGGCCCATAAGAAAGCCTCAGCAAACTTGTAAGATGACTTGAAATGATTTAAAAGAAGACAAATCAAGCATGTAACTTTCCTCAAAAAAAAATATATATATATATTTTTTTTTTTTTTTACAAATCCTTGTCCAGTAAATCACAAAAAGTCTTGAGTTCTATTGTTTGTGGAAAATTGGTGGCCTTGGAATCCAAAACATTGAGAACCACTGGATTAGAGAGTCACACTTGAGCGATGCACTAATTATTTATATGTATTACTAACAAAAAAGTACCAAAAAGTATTTTACCATGTGCCATGGTATTATTTGAATTTACCATGGTGTATCAATATGGCACCATGTTAAATGATTTAAGGAAATTAAATTAAATTGCTAGTAAATTTCACAAATAATTACAAAGATTTTTTCAAAGATTACAAAAATTACCGGTGAAATACTGTGGAAACGATGCAGGCTGTCAATTCTGGGTGTGACACAGGAGTTTAAATTAACAAAACTTAGCTTATTGTACCATTCAAAAGTTTGGATTCAAAAATACAATAAAAACAGTGATTTTATTTATTTATTATGTTGAAAACTGTTGTGCTGCTACTTAATTTGTGAAAATATTTTTTCAGGATTTTTTGATGAATAGAAAGTTCAAAAGAACAGCACTTATTTGGAATTGAAATCTTTTGTAACATTATACATTTATATACTGTCATTTTTTATTTGTCACTTTTAACATTTTTTAATTAAGTGTTAATAAAAAAATTATTAATTAATAAATCTTGATGACCCCAAACTTTTGAACAATTATTTATTTAGCATATTTTATTATTTCATTTAGCAATACAGCAAAGAGATTCATCCTAAGCAGGCATTAGCATGAAAAATGCAAAATATAACAAATATAGAGTTAACATTATGATTCACTACCTAATGTATGATACAGAATTGATTGGGCGAGACCACACATAAACACATAGACTTCATATGATCTGTATCACTGCATGTTGATAACCGGCATACTGAAAATGTGAAATACTATCATCTGATAGCTGAATGGATCAAATTGCACGCGCTCTCCCAGTTATGCTACATTTCAAGACACATTACTATGAGATTACCTACAAGAGACCAACCATCATACACAGCTTGAGTCTGTTTCCTGCTCCATTCTCAGTTAAATGCATGAATCACTGGTTAACCTGGGTCACTTCGCAGTGCTGGTCAGAGCCATTTGCACATCGCAAATTGATAGAAAGCAAGTGCTTTCTGTTG